GCGCCGGCGTCAGCCGGCGAGGCGACTGGTATATGTTATAAAACAGCAATAGGTAGAGGAACTGGACCTATAGATGAGCTCATGAGACGGAATGGTAGTGTACGCTGGAAAATGAAAGCGGTTGCTGCCGAAGGACTGAAACTGGTATGGAAATATGTTGCACCAGTCGGATCGCACGGCTAACGCCGTGCCTCCCTCGCTTTCTCTTGAGCTCGCTTTCGCAGATGGCCTGGCTTCGCCAGGCGGCTCCTTAACGGAACTTTTCGGTAGTGCGCTGCTCATAAGGCGCTGTAGTGATCGAATCGTAACAGACAGAGCAAGGCTTAGGATTCCGCACAACTCAGCACGCGCTTCTATTTGCAGCAGCGGTGTAGTCCGTGGTATGACCCCCATAGATAGAACACATAAATCTGTAGATAGATACAATGTGCAGTCGGCCAATACAGCGCAATATGAATCGCTCAGTGAAATAGCAGATTTCGTTTCCATTACCTGCACCGGAATGCCTACCGACGAACGCTTTAATTTTCAATTAGCATGCGATCCGCTCGTTGAAGTGTTTTTGGTTCTCCTCGTTCCCTGAGATTTCCCCCCCCCCCGCTCGTCGACATCGACAATATATAGTAGGATAAGTTCATTTTCTAGGGCTATTAGGGAAGAAATGGCTAAAGGAGGAAAAGTATGCACATTCAGCCTTTGATACTTGGGGTATAGTGATAAGAGAGGTAATGATAATGGCTCCTTATCCTTTCTTATCAATTGATAAGATCCTGTCACCCGTCATCAATGTCCCTATCACTAAACTTTACATGGTGTGTGCGACGATTTGACTGAACAGCATTGGCAACGTTCCTTATCAGCCCCTATCAGCTGTTATCACCTCACGTGCCGTGTCCCCATCTCCAACTCTATATCATTTTCTGAAATTAATGCCTAGCTGCTGCTGTGGTCCGTGTTATGAGTATTCTGCGCGGACATCTACCATCCCTAAACTCCCCTATCAAATCCCATCAGCCGGCAATCATCCCCTAATGTTCCTGTCTCACGTCCTATATCATATCTTGGAACCAATGTTCCACTGTTTCTTGTCCCGCGCTATGGACTTGGTCACCCTCCCCTTCTGACACCTCTTGACGGATCTTCAACAGCTGCTATCATTCCCTGTCACCCACCAGTAGTGTTCCCATCACACCGCCTATATCACTTCTTGAGATCAATGCCTTACTGTTACTGGAACCGGCGCTATGAATTTCGTGGCAGACAGACAGACAGACAGACAGACAGACAGACAGACACACACACACACACACACTTAGCGGATTATATATAGTAGGATTACCATAACAAGGTAAGACCAAGGGATGATATCTCCGCCCATTTTTCTCTTTCTGTACATTTAATATGAGCTGGAGCAGCTGGGATGGGGGGGGGCAGAGAGCAAGTGAGAGAGAGAGAGAGAGAGAGAGAGAGCCGAGAGAAGAGAGAGAGAGAGAAAGGAATGTGCCTCAAAGAGGATCTTCTAGATCCAAGCTCAAGCAGTCTTAGGGAAATGACATCCATAAGTTGTTCGCTCATATTGTCAACTGTCGGATTCACTTGCTTGGCACGTTCTTATTGAACATGTAATAGATCAACAAATAAATAACCGGAAAAGGGCTACATGCCGTGGACGAAGATATTTTATGTAAAAAGCCCCACAGAGCGAGAAACCCGTGAAAGAAAAACGGACAGCCTTCGTGACTAATGAGCACAGAAGGAAGACTATGCGTCTATGCGTTATGCGTTCCGTTCAAAGGCACAAGTGAATAGAAGCTGACCAGGAAAGGTCAACAGGTCAGCCCGGCCATATACAATGAGATGCACATCATTGTACCCATCTTGACACGGTGAACTCGAAACTATCTTCAAAATTTGCGGAACGATTCTCTGAGCGGAGTTACGGAGGTTTTCTTTACCGTTTTTCTTCTTCCAGGCGCGCTGGCGCCGAAGCGTTGGCACCTGTAGTGCGACTCGCAGCGCTCTTCGCGCAAAATAGGTGTCATATTTGTGTTCAGGGGGTCAAATAACCCCTAGAGACGTCATTTTAGCGAAATCTGAGTTTCTGACTCAACTTGGAAAAAATGGGGTATGGATAGTCATAGCTGACTGAGAGCCAACAGCCATACTACGACTAGCATACTGGTGATGACTGCTCTTCGAACGAAATAACTCTTCAGTCATGTTTTTTCGCAAAGAACAATATCTGGCTCAATTACTCGTGTCGTCTGCATCATTTTCCTGATTACCGGTAGGAATTCCATCCCGAGAGCAGTCACGGATGGTAGGCGAGCTTCAAACTGCTGTCAGGTACTCCTGGGTCTTGTTAATTCCTGTACCTGTTTATGTCATGTTCATAGTTTATTGCGTCGCCCCTTACACAAATCGATACATGGTCGACCTTGGGCAGTCGACTATGCCTGTATTGATCGGCTCCGGCACGGCGGAGGAGCCCCTAGCGTGGGAAAGGTCACTCAGTGACCAATCAAAACACTCCACGCCCAATGGGCAGAGCGAAGGGCTATATAAGCGTGAGGAGGCCGTTGCGGAGCGCACTTGGTGAACTGTCTTATAAGCGAGAGGCGAAGCCTCATTATTACTACGAGCAAGACAGAGTATAGCTTTTGGCAAGCTATAGGGCTAGACGTGACTTTCCTAGCCCAGTCGAGTGGTCGGCTTGACTAAAGTGTTCACCGCAGGATACGGACGGCATCCTGATAAGCCCCGCCTCCTCCATTGGGCACATCCACACCACAATCCCACGTGTACGGGCTCAACCGCGTGTCGAAGCCGCAGGATTCATAGCCCACGTGTATCCTTACATTCTATAAAGCAGAAACTTTGTGTGTCGGTTTGTCGGTATGTATGTCGGTTTGTATGTTTGTCCGTCCGCAAAATGCTTTACGGGATTAAACACGTTAGTGAAAGAAGAAAACGACCGCTAGCCAAACCGGGAACCCATCGGTGCAGATGTATCAATCCAATGTTTTGATTGTGATAACAGCATATATAAGACAACGCACTACGGTAGCACTCCGAGCGCGATTGCGACGACAGCTGCTGGCCGTGGCAGCGGACGTGTGCTCGTCGGGGTGCAGGGTGGGGGTAGCCGTCGCGCTCGGCCTCCCTTCTCCTGCCAATTGCTCAGCGAGCGGAGCTGAAAGCCACATGTATTGGAGGGAGGCAGAGGGAAGGGGTCGCGGGGGGGGGGGGGGGATACAGTGAGGGGTGCGCAGCGCGCGTTTCAGTAGAAACGCGCACCAATGGATGAGGAAGCCGCTAACAAAATTGCAAGCCAATCTATGTTACCGTAACTAACTAAGAAGTTGTTTTGGTTGTGATAACAATCTCCACTTTATAAGAAAACCACTACACTCCGAGCCATTGCACGGGTTGCTCGCGTGGCAGTTGGACGTAAGCGCGTGCAAGGGGCAAGGTGGAAGGGGGGGGGATGGAGTGGCGAGTACGGAATGGGGTGAGGTGAGGAAGGTGGGAGTTAGTATCGAGTGACCCCCTTCTCCCATCCTCACTCCCTTGCGCGTTTCAGTCGGATCTGAGCCCATGCAGGGGAAGGAGGCATATGGATTGAATCGGGCAAACTGGGTACAGTAAGGGGATGCGTAGCGTACGCTTGAATAGGAGCAGGCGGCAAGACAGAAGGAAAGAACCGCTAGCAAAACTGCAAGCTAATCCATGTTACAGCAACGAACTAGGATGCTGTATGGATTGTGAATCGCCCCTCTATCTAAGCAACCACTGTGATAGAGTCTGTGCTATTGCAGGAGCTGCTCGCTTGGGAGCTGGACGTGAGCACGAGCAATACTGTGGTAAGAACAGTGGCGGCGTAGGGTCCTATGTTGCACCAGCTGCTCACGTGGCGGCTGTATAGCACGTGCGGGAGTGGGCGCCAGTTAAATAGGGTCAGTGGGATATGATGTGGTGAGGGGGATACCAGATGAGAACGGCGATTTCGCGATTAGGAGCACATAGCGCCTGCGATAAGATGAGAAGAAAATGGATCGACCGCAGTCGGAACTGAACCGATTAATTGCATTATCAAATTGTGGTAGCGTTTTGATAGTCATAACAGCCTCCACCAACATAACACAACCATTTAGTGCACTCAGAACCATTGCACGGGCTATTCGCGTAGCAGATGAGCGTGACCTGTGGGGTAGGCTGAGCGGGGAATAGCTGAGGTTAGTTTGGGGATAGGACGACCGACGCTCTCCTGAACAGGAGCACGCAGCGACTGCGGAGACCGAAGCATCCTTGGCTGTCATAAGATGGGGAGGAGAGTAATCGATTATCCATAACCAGATTTTGAACTTTTCATTATGAAAGTGCCCTGCGATCATATGGCGCGTTTCTACATTCATTTGTGCAGCGGTTAGTCACAACTCTAAAGCAGTTGCATGAGCCCGGCGAAGCCGGGCTTCCAAGAAGGAGGAGAGCTCGGCGTTAGCCGGGCGATCCGACTGGTATATATATATATATAGTGTGTGTGTATCTCTAATAAATATTATATAGAGAGCCTTGTAATTTCGCGAATACTAACGGTTCAAAGCCGTAACATATCTCGTATTCATCGTCTTGTATTTGAGGTTATCGAAACTATATATGTCATCCACTAGCCACCGCTCTGCAGCGCCCACGACGCCCCCAGCTAGGGTCGGGGTGGACGCTACGGAGCGACCTAGCCATGACATGGGGGCCAAGCCGCCTCAAAACGTCGATGTTGCAGATATGTCCAGCGAACAAGGCGCCGTGCCAGTGGAAGTGCAGGAAGCTGCGGAGCAGCCGGCACAAGTGGATCAGGAGCTTAGCGCCAACATTAGAAAACTCGCTGAGAAGCAGAACGGCATAACGTTGTGACTGCGGTCCGCAGTGCAACCGACGCAGCCATTGCAGCAGTCGAGTCAACGTTCGAAAATGCCTTGGAGGCGAGCGTTCTGGCGGACAAGATGGGAATCCCTCTTTGCCAGCTATCGTGTGAATTACCACGGTTAGTGGAAAAGGCCGCTGCAATGAACCGCGTAACGGACGCGCTCGGATGTACCAGCGCTAGGGTTCTGCCGCTGTTTGAGCTGAAAGACAGCGAAAATCAATGGCTAAAATCACGACTGCTTTCATTGCAGGATGCTCAGCAAGGCCCATCGCCACAAGAAGTGAAAGAGTGCGATACAGCGCGAGGTAAGCAGTCTTATGCACCTTGCCAACAGCTGCGATCTGCAGCCTCATCACGCGCTTCTTTCCAGACGCGGAGTACGGCCAGTCAAGGAGATGGGCGTATCTTGAGCCACCGCGTGACCTCGAGCGAGAAGTCCACCAAATTCTGTCAGTCACACTGCCACTCCCCACGAGGTGAGTCAGATTCTTTGTGCAGTAGTGAACTAGAGAGGTGTAAGACACGTGTCGCCAGCAGGGTACCGATGCGACCGATTCGCTCGTAATAGCTTTTAAAGAAGCTTTCAAAGCTCAGTCGCTCAAAGCGGTAAAAGATTATGACGGGAAAGGACCTTTAACAGATTTTGTAAGGGCCTTAGATGTGAAATACCCTCGTTCAGTGTGGAGTGACGATGATAGGAGAGATATTCTCCTCAACCACTTGACAGGGTCGGCGCAAGCCCACATCAAGAATTTGCCTGAGGAAGGTCGACGCCTTTCGTTCCAAGAAGTCGTAGAGGAACTCCGTAGAGCAAAAGATACTCCGTGCGAACGACTGAAAGCAGAGTCCGAATGGAAAACCCTCAAGAGGCATGATGGAGAGTCAGTTTTTGATTTTTGCTGCAGACTCCAAAGCGTCGCCAACCGAATGGCGCCCGGGCAATGCTTGGACTTCCAGATGGGAAGCAAGCTTTATGAATGCCTGGCCCACTGGGCTGACTCTTACCATATGCTTGCCGCTTAGAACGCTCCCCGAGGCCACGGTGTTTGAGGAAGTACCAAAGCGCTTTGAGACTAGAGCGAACCGCGGAAAACCCGTCCCAGCTGGAAAGAAGAAGGCCCTGGAACGGACGCAGAGGAAGACCGGACGATGCAAGGGCGACATCGAAGGATGACGCCGTAGAAACCGAGAGAGAGCACAGTCTCGTGTTCTAGGTGCGGACAGCACGGTCACTCTCATCGTGAGTGCAGCCAGCAGAACAAACCCTCATCCTCGAGATCCAGTCAGAAAAAGGACTCAGCACGTTCTAAAAGAGGGTTTCCATCCAGTGGGTCACAACAACGACCAAAGCACTCATCGCTATCGACACATCTGAAGTCATGGTGTCGTGGAGTCCGGAAAAGTGTACCCACCAGGACAGAGGCCTATGGCGAGCCGTGTTACTGCGATATTGAAGTGTTCGGTCTGAACACGAAAGCACTCATAGACACGGGCTCAGTTATATCTATCATACCCGTAGGTCTTCTGCAACTCGCTCAAAAGAGTGGCGCTGATATAGACACTATGGCTACCATTCTAGGAGATGCCGACAAGGACGAAGTGCTCGATGCGTCAGGAAATCCGATGACGTTCCTCAAGAGGATCGCAGTCGACATTAAGGTCAAAGGCGCTAAAAAAGCCAATGTCCAATTACACGTTCAGCAAGCAAGCGATACCCTTATTCTTCTCGGCACCAACGCCATGGAGGCGTTAGGCATCGGGGTAAGCTTGACACCTGAGACGGATACGGAAGGTGACCACGAAGTACAGCAGACGAAGTCTAAGCAAGTCAAGAGTGCGTTGGCACGAGTTCGTAAAAGAGTCGTGATCCCGCCTCACACCTCGGCGTTCGTCGAGCTTGAGGGGAAAAACCGCAAGCCCGAGCAGGTCTTCTGGTCCAATGACAACAAAATAGCGTCAGGAGTATGCCGCATATCTCATGGACATGGTATCATACCTGTCGTGAACAAAGGTGAGGAGCCATGGGTAATTCCGAAAGGAAAAGTGCTCGGAGAATGGTCAAATGACCTCTGGTACAACCCGAATACGGCTGAGATACCTGGCGATGTACTCGAAAAGGCAACAGAAGTACCCGAAAAGGGGAAAGCCTCGGAGGTAATTCAAGTTCTCGAGAGCAACAAGCGCACAGGTGGATTCCCGGAGGAATTCAAAAGCTTGATCCGAGAATATCAGGACGTCTTCGCAGTTTCAGATACTGAACTGACCCAGACACACCTCATCGAGTACGATATCGACATTCAAGGGCATTCTCCAATACGACAGAAGACGCGTCCAGTTCCGTACGGACTGAGAACGCAGGTCAAAGAGATGCTCCAAGACTTGGAGCAACGCAATATCATAGAGGCCAGCTCATCACCATGGGCATCCCCGATAGTGCTAGTGGCCAAGAAGGATGGCACTATTAGATTATGCGTAGATTATAGAGAAGTCAATAAAGTGACGAAGAAGGATTCATATCCACTTCCCGCCATCGATGTAACATTGCAAAATCTGAAAGGGAAGAAATACTTCACTTCTCTAGATCTTGCCAGCGGTTACTGGCAAATACCACTGACGGATACGGCCAAGCAGATCAGCGCATTTACTACCACAGCTGGTCTGTACCAGTTTCGAGTACTCCCATTTGGGCTAACTACCGCCCCTTCGGTTTTCCAGAGACTCATGGAGAAGGTCCTAGGAAACTTGATGGGAGCCGAAGTATCTGTCTATATAGACGACATCTTAATCGCCACGGATTCCATGGAGAGACACCTCCACGTTCTCAGACGAGTACTCCAGGCATTTAGAGAGGCTAATCTTAAGATAAAGCCGCAGAAGTGTCGTCTTCTCGAGACGGAAGTCGCGTTCTTAGGGCACATCATCGATGCGGAAGGCATCAGAACAGACCCAGATAAGGTCGCTAAGATCGTGAACTTCCCCAGACCGTCCAATTTAGCGGAATTACGCACCTTCCTAGGAATGGCCGGTCATTATAGAAAATTTGTTCTCAGATTCGCTCAAGCAGCTAGACCGTTGTACGCTTTAACAAGCCCTAAGGTCGCTTTCGACTGGGGTTTGGAGCAGCAGACAGCTTTTGAGTCACTGAAACAGTTGCTCTCAAAAGCACCAGTGCTCTCCCAGCCCGACATCGAAAAAGCACGAGAAGGCTCGAGACCGTTTATCATTTATACGGACGCCAGTCGTGTCGGAGTTGGTGCTGTGCTAGCTCAAGAGCAAGAAGACGGTTTCCTACATCCGCTTCACTTTGCTTCGAAAC